TTTTTTTTTTTATCGCGCACAGGGCGCAACTCCCTCAGCGCGCGCACCGCGCACAGCGGACAGCACTGCGTACTGCGCACAGCGCACGGCGCACAGTGCGCGCGCTGTCGTTCCAGCGCACAGCGCAGTGCGCACCGCCCCACCCCGCACTGCGCACTGGTGCGCCGCAACTATGCTCTGAGCTTTGAGTGGGCGCTCTGCGCCAGCGTGAATCGCCGTCTGTTTGCATGTATGCAAAGTGGAAAAGAAAGCGAGTCTGATTGCACTAATACCTCTTATCATTTCGATGCTATGGTATATAGCCTCAAAATGGATAGATCCAGATCACATTATCTCTTGACTAATACAAGAGCTAGAGCATATCTATGGTCGGGTGACCCAAACAAACAGAACTACATCCCAAAAAACACATGGCATGGCATAACGAGGGAACCAGTTGAGGAGGGACTAGGACTTACCGACCAAAAACAGGAGACAAAAGCTTTGGAAACCAAATGGATCATTACAGTCCTAACACGACAAAATTTGTCATGGGTCAACCTGGCAAGAGATAGTATTAGGACCATAGCTCCGAGTCCCACCGCCTCCCTGCTGGACTTGGCAGGACTCTCCTGGGTAATGAACAAAGAACGGAACCTGAAAACACGCAGAAGAGAACATCCAAGAGGGGGCACCCCCTCCAACTTATGCAAAAGCTACCCCAGACTGGTCAGCTCTGATAAAAAGATGGGGAGAGATATTCCCACAGAAATGTCACATGCCAAAACGAAGGAATGGAGGATGGAAAATGAACTTCCCGTTCCGCCAAAGGGGTGCCACAACCTGCGAGACAATCTGCAACTGTTTTTTCGGAGCTGGAAAGAGCTACTGAGGCATGCCCATCCAGGATTTCTATCCGCAGTCAGTAGGTTGTCTCATCAACACTAGTCAGGGGAACTCTCAGCAGTTTTCAGATCCTTCCCACTGGTCTATGACCATAACGATCCACTCAAAATACAAAATATGCATCCAGGACAATCATCGATGGACCACTTCTCTCTTGTGGAAAGTAAGAGCCTCTGGCCACACATTTTTCCAGGCAGACAAAGTGTTGCAGGACTTGAAATTTGGTCCATCAGAACGTTCATGAACACACAAGAAAACAGAAAGACTGTCCATTACAATTAGGTTATATAGCTGGGATGTCTGGCCGGGCGCCCAGACACCAGCTTGTGCCTGGATACATGCCCGGGTGCCTAGGTGCCCGGCCGCGCATGAACCCCAGCCACAGTTCCAGCAGCCCCAGCGCCAAAACAAAGGAAAAAAGAAATAGATTCCGGAAAAGGAATGTGTTGTGTAGAATTGCAATGCAAACGACTTTTGGATGAGGGTCACATCATCACAGGATAGAACAT